TTGAATTTTTTTTTCAATAGATCGAAGGATGTCCTTGTCGCACACTATTGCTTTCCTTGTCTAGCGTCATTAGACAAGGAGTGCACTAGCGTACGACAAGCAGCATACATAGCGATAGACAAGGAGGGCGATAGTGTGTGACAAGGACAGACTCATTCGCTCAGTAGACAAAGAGGGCAACAGCGTGTGATAAGGACAACAATATAAATTAGTTCCGGCACCTATCCTAGGGGTGATCATTTGGTAAAAATAAATAAAAAAAGGGTTGAACATTTGATAAAAATAAATAAAAAGAATAAGAAACAAGGTTTTTTCCTTTTTTACTGAATCGCCACATGGTGTACGATTTTGAGCGGGAATAACTGTAGATTATATATTTAGATATGTATGTTTCTGAGGAAATTATATTTACTTCATGATATAAATATAATTAAATATATTTGAAGAATATTTGAAGAACTATATTACATCCTATCGTTGATTGATTGATGTTGAACTCATTTCTCAGTCTTATTCTTCATCGTTGTATGTTTCTAACCTATCCAAAAAGTTGATCAAGGATGAAAGTTAGATTGAATTTATTTACTCATTTCATAGATAAAACTTTCAGTTGCGTTAACGCAAAGTATTATTCGCAATCTGAAGTTCTATTTACTAAGACGGATGTCAATTTAAAAAATTGGCAAGGGGAACTTGATAGAACTATGCAAGTTCTACCGAATTTCATTACAACTGAAGAAGAAAAGTTCTTAATTGAAGAAATTGATCCTTATATGAGGAGATTAAAATACGAACAGTCGCACTGGGATGACGTTAGTATAAGTGAATTGTTATTTTTTATCATAATTACACATTTTTAATCAATTGTAGGCAATACATAATTATAGAGAGACGGAGAAAAATAAGTGGAATGAGAGAAACATAAAAATAATAAATAAAATTCAAGATAGGGCATTTCCTAAAGATATGTCTAAAATTTCATTGGTACATGTTTTGGACCTAGCACCGCAAGGGTGGATAAAACCACATGTCGACAGCATTAGAGTATGTGTTTTATTTTTTGGTTTATAGTACAAACAAAATTTACATGGTATTCTTGTCATAGTTCTGCGGAGAAATTATTGCTGGTTTAAGTTTATTAACTGATAGCGTAATGAGATTAAAAATGGTTGATAATGAAACTTTATATAAGGACTTTCTATTACCCAGAAGATCGTTATACATAATGAGGTAATATAATAATGTATTTTTAATTTATTTGTATTCATGTCTAATATTTTTGTTTTATAGTGGTACAGCTAGGTATAATTATAATCACGAAATTTTAAAAAATGAAGAATCTTTTTTTGAAGGACAACATATACCAAAAGATAGACGTATTTCAGTAATATGTAGATGTCAACCACAACATAACACTTAGTATACAGTTAGACGTTTAACTTGTTTTTCCAAAAAAACAAGGCTTTAAATAAAAAAATGTTATTTTTTCTTTTTAAAATATTTTTTCATGTAAAATAACCCTTTTATTGTATCTTCATTATTGGAACACTGGATAATTATACCGCAAGTTTATATTGTATATGTATGTATATATTGTATATAAAAGATATAAAATATAAAATGATAAAAGTATATATATATACACACATATACAGTCATGTAATACGATAGTTGTTGGTTGATAATCACTAGTAAATTATAATTTTTTGGAATGATTTTGTCAGTTTGCATTGATATTTTTAAAAATCTATAAATTGAGCTGCTGAATTTGTCACATCTAATTAGTCAGTAATAAAATATATTTAAGAGATTAATGTTTGGAACGTTTTATTTTATTATATTACAGGACACTAAATTCAAACTAGTTTCGTTTAGATTTCGATCGCATGGCTTATTTACCTCCTCTTACTCAACTCCTTGGATTGATATATAGTCACTTTTCCGTAATAAAACTAGACCGTACTTCATGATCGAGGTTAAAAATCAAGATTATGAATGTTGATACATGGAGATATGAACATTTTAAATCATGATCTCGACGGGGATTAAAGACGCATTAGCCACGTGCGCTTCAATTTGCACAGTTTTACAATTTTTGGCCGGTGTGTAAGTAAAAATGGAAACTAGCTCCGGACTTAACCTCACGAGTAGTTATCCTAAAGCATAACTATGCGATTTGTTGACATAAACATGTCAAATAAAGTCGTAAATTAGAATCATATAACTTCATAAGATGTAAAAGTTTCCTTTAATGGTAATAAAAAAGTAGCAAAAAAAAAATAAGTATTAAGATAATTCATCTTTCTTTTTTAAAGATATCTGTTACATTTGTGTAAATTTCATTATTCAACAATAATGTTAAAAAAAAGTTAAAAAAATGTTTTAGGCTGGTGTGCAGAAAAATCATTAAAAATGGCACTACGGGAAATAGTTCAGCCTTGGCATTTGTAACATGTTATACATCGTAAGTGTTATATTTCTTATCTTAAGAACAATTTATTACTGATAATTGTTTTTTTTTGTTAATAATTATTCGTATTGTATTTATAAAGATGACAATTCTTGACATTTACTTGAATTTTGTCATTAGAGTCAAGTCTTTGTATAATATGTTACAGATGCGTCTTATGGATGAGATATGGTATGCTCATTGGAGATCGATTTATATTATTAGTGAATGTATTTGGTTCAATACTCCAAGCGTCTTACGTTTACGTATTCATTTTATATAGTGTAAAAAAGTTTAAACCAATAAGGCAAATGATTGCAGCAACTTGTTTCCTCGCAGTTGTGTACTTTTATAGTTTTTATGAGGAAGACAGAATTTTAGCCTCAAAGTACGTTGGTTTCCTTAGTTGTACAGTAACAGTATTATTTTTTGCATCTCCATTAATGATGTTGGTAAGTCACCTGATTTTTTTCAGTAACAGATAATAGCTGGTTAGTTTGAAAGAAAGATAAATGAACAAAATATTTTTCAGGCACATGTGATAAGAGTTAAAAGTACAGAAAGTTTACCATTTCCCATTATTATGGCTTCTTTAATAGTTTCTTGTCAGTGGTTTGCATATGGTTGCCTTCTGAATGATCAGTTCATAGAAATACCAAACTTTCTAGGCTGTGTATTATCTGCATTTCAACTTTGTTTCTTTTTAATTTATCGTAACGATCAATTTAATGAGGCTCACTTGATATAATATTAAGAAATATATTTCACAAATTATGCTCTAACTGGGAAAGATATCATATATTTTTTAGCATATTGTTTATAAATTAAGACACTCGATATATGTTCTCACGAAGAAATATATTTTTGAAAAAATTAATTGTCTTTTTAATTAAAAGGCGTTCTTCGAATTCAATTCCTTCCCGCCAAAAATGAGACTAACTTTCCAAGAAATTTCACCAGTTCTATAAAATTCCCTAGATAGCAGGACAAGAATTGATAAATGTATAATTCATAAAAATACGACAGGAGCATTGAACAATATTTATTTTAAAAAACAAATACATTACATAATTAATTCATTATAAAAAATATTTCTCATGTTACAAATCTACGATCACTTTTCCTATTCAATATTTTATTTTACAATATCAATACATGTTAAATGATAATCTCACCATTTTATCATTTTAATTTTTATTTCTTCTTTTTTAACACGTAAGATATGTAAATACATTTTCTACAGTATCTTAAAACCTATATAGGTGCTTCATTTGATTTCAGTATTAATTACGTGTCTCTCTCGAATGTTCCGAAAAAAGTATCGTTTAATCGACGAGAAAGTACTGTTCCCGTTCCAAAAAAATTCTCTCGCATTTTAATATCAAAATGTCGATCGTAGCATTCGGATTTCCCCCTCAGGAATATTAATTTCGAAAACGGAAATGAAGTGGAAATTTCCAGACATATTATGCGGTGTGCGTATATTGGTTAAGTTCCGGGGCGGATCAGTTGGCAGCACTGGCAGAGGAGGAGGCGAGAAGAGAGAAAGAGGTGCGGTGTTGCGTGACTGACTGCGAGCCCGAGCGTGTGTGTTTGTTGTGTTGAACGAGAGGAAAAATTTCTATACTCTTCCTTTCTCGAGAAGAAAACGTAAAGAAAAAAAAAAGAGAAAAGGAAGAAAAAGGAGAAAAAGGGAAAAACCGTTCCGCTTGATTTTTGTTTGGGGGAAAAGACCGTGCGTTTGGAAGGGGGAAAAAATCATGTCGTCGTACATCCAGGTTGCCGAGGACGAGGGTGACGAGCCGATCGAATTACCAACCGAGGACGATAGCACACTTTTATTGACCACCGTAACTGCCCAATTCCCTGGGACATGTGGCCTGAAATATCGGAATCCAGAATCTCGGACGATGCGCGGCATTCGTCTTGTTGACGGGCGCCTTCATCCTCCAGAAAACGGATGGGGCAAGGCGATTTACTTCTGTGTTTTTCCAAAAGGTGCTTATTTCACGACGAAGTATCGTCTTTCGANTCTCTCTCTCTCTCTCTCTCTCTCTCTCTCTCTCTCTCTCTCTCTCTCTCTCTCTCTCTCTCTCTCTCTCTCCCTCCCTTCCTTCCTTCCCTTCCCTTCCCTTCCCATTCCCTTCCTCTCTTTTATTCCTCTCCCCACCGACTTCCCCTTCCCCTCTGCCTTCCCACCCCCTGAAAATATACTAACGCCACACGAATCAAGATCAGGTATATATATATATATATATATATATGTACATTATATATATATATATGCTTCTACGTACATATGTAAGATGAATAAAAATATAATATATTTTAAGTTTTTGTACGAATTTTAAAAGAGACAAATTTTTGTTCTAAGCTTTTGTAAAACATGAGAAGCACTGGTTGAGAGTTATTATAACTAACTCTCGATTTTTATTATCAAAGTTATGTAGAACTTTCATTCTTATTAAAACAAAATTTTCTTATGATAACAAATATTGATTTGATTTGTGATGATCTTTTGTTTGTTACTGGAAAATTATCATTTGATATTAATTGTTAGATTTGTCAGTTTCTACAAAATTTTTCTTTAGAAATATTGTTGTTCATATACTTGATCTTGAATGATTCACATCAACTTTATGATGATTATGAACGTTTATGCATTTTATGTATTTTTTAAAAATCTGGTTAATCAGATTGGATATTTTAAATATTTTTTTAGCATTATGCACATGTATAGTTAAAATGAACATTTTAGAACAAATTCTTACAATAATAAAAACATTGACATACAAGAAAATATACAAGTCCATTTATATAATTTTTTTATTACATATATTTATTATGTATATATATTTGTAATATATATAAAACAAATCCTCTGTGGACAAGAAAAAAGTTATTATTCAGTTATTCATGTTTATATTTAATTTTTTTAAAATTCTAGGTTTTTAAAAATGTGTTTAGTTAATAAAGCTTTTGTATTTTACAACTTTCAAAGGTTTTTCAGGAAGAACAAAAATTTATTTTAAAAGTAAAATTTATTTTAGAATTTAAATGATCTAAATTATTTACGGAAGTTAAAGATAGATGAACTGATTTCATAATTTCATAAAAAAATTATTACGTATGCATCTTCAAATAATGTAAATTCATCATTATTTATTCCATAAATGTAAAACCATTCATCATTATATATTCATCATTTATAAAATATAAATAATGAATATCTCTTTATAGAACCATAAATAATGAACTCTTCTGATTTGAATATTGCACTTACATGCATAAATATTTATGATCAATTTCCTGCCTCCCCCGAAGTCCAGTACATGTGTTTATGTTTATTGTGCAACAAATTTTTCTCTGTTTTCTTTTTTTAAATGAATTCATATTTTTACTACTTTTTTTCAAAAACAGAATTTTACCCTTTCTCACAATGTATGACTTTCATAGTAATTCTCCAATTCCTATAGGCTAAATATTAACTTCTATCTCCATAAGAGATACAGACCTCAAATTTTATTTTAAAACATGCATAAGATTCCTCTCTTTTTTATAAATTCCAATTTTTTGATGATGTTTCATTATTTAATGCAAATGACAAAAATTTCTTCAATTAAAAAAAAATAGAATGGAGTAATATGAATAATAGTATGATTCACAATTTTGTATAAATTCAATATGCATATTATTTACTTTATATTTTTCTTTACATTAGCATATCTAATTGAGCAACACAAAACATTTTTTTTTTTCCTTTTACAAACATGCACAAATAGATTGGAGAAAAAAATGAACTATAATATTATGAATTGATTAAATTGATTAAAGCAACCATTGGAATATCTGTAAAGCATCAATTGCTTGGAAAATTGTTGAAAGTGTCTGGGAATTGGAGGAACTTAAGATAATTGTATTTAACTTTGAATACTTTTGAGTACTCCATTTAACTTTGAATACTTTTGAGTATTGACTTTGATTATTTATCTAATCATATTAACATAAGCACATGCTAATATATGATTGAATGATTAAACATTAATAGACTTAAATTATAAAAATTCATATTGTCTTATTTTATTAATGACATTAATAAACATTCATTTATTTATAATAATTAAAATTTGTTTGCATTTATATATGTGCATAACTATACGAAAAATTGAACTTGAATATTTAATATGTGTATTTTGCACACACATGTATACACACACATACACATATACACGCAGAGTTACACGCAGTAAAGTACACAAATTTTTTAATATTTTTTGATAAATGATTATTTGTACTGGATTTCCATACTTTTACTTTTTTTTATTATTATTTTTATTATAGTCACGTTTATTTTTTCTCTCTTCTTGTAAATTTATATATGGCTCAAATTTTTTTGGAAAAGGTTCTAGTAAAATGAAAAAAAGTTAGTAGACATGAACACTTATATCTTTTCAGAGAACAAACGTAAATCTGATGACAATTTGGAAAATTCCACAGCTAAGACTAAAAGAATGGAAACAAAGTTGCGTTGCACAGACTTGATCGTACTTGGTTTACCATGGAAAACCACTGAGCAGAACTTGCGAGAGTATTTCGAAACATTTGGCGAAGTACTCATGGCACAGGTGAGTTTTCTTAGTTCTTCTCCCTTGCCCCTCTCTTTTTTTATATATGTATAAAATAATTCAGTATTAAACAGCAATGTTAGAGCTAATTACAGTGATTGTTTCATTAAAATCTTACGTGGGTCGTGTGTTGTAGGTTAAAAAAGATGCAAAGTCAGGACAAAGCAAAGGATTTGGATTTATTAGATTTGGAAGCTACGAGTCTCAGTTAAGATGCCTTGCCCAACGACACATGATTGATGGGCGATGGTGTGATGTCAAGGTTCCCAACAGTAAGGTAAGAACATCATTATGTTCATTGACAAATATTAATTGTTTCTTTATGTACTTCGAGTAGCTATGAAATGTTCAACTATTTAACAATTGTTTAAGATCTTAATGCATATGTAGGATATTCGCGTGCAAATCATAGATTTATATCTTTGTTATATATTTGTTTCGAACTTACCCCGTTTATCATATAACAGTAATGTAAATGAAAGTTCATGAAAAGTTTAACATTTGTCTTGTATTTCTCTGTGAAATTACATACATATGTGTGTATCTCATATTATGTTTCTTGTTATTTAAAGATTCAGCAAACACAATGATATAACATATACCATAAAAAAGATGTTCTAAAAATTATAAAAGCAAAAGCATTGTTAATTAAATGAAAAGCAAAATAGCCTTCTTGTAAGTAATTAAGAAGTAATTGAATCTTCTTAAGAACGATTTTTTATACATATACTTTATATAGATCTATGATGCACGCCATAAGGTATTATTTATCGCGCTATAAACGGTATAGTAAAAAAAAAAAAAAGTTAAAGGAATGATTAAGGCCTGACAATGGGCACAGACGCGAGTTTTCCTTTAAAAGATTATTTTCTCTATTACGAATTATTGCACAATGACTATGAGACATTTAATTCGTTTCTATTTACAATTTTTGAACGTCATTTTTTATATATATATATATACATATCTCTTGAGAAGAAAGTATACTGTGGTATAAATAGATGAATGTGTAGTCGAATTAAGTGGCATATTTATAAAGGAAATGTGATATATGTGTATGAATGTTTCAATGAGTGTTGTACGATGCAGAGTGAGATACTTTTAAAGAAGTATGCTTGCGTGGCCTTGTAAATAACATTGGTATGTTTGTGTTTTCTTTAAATAGTGTGGAAACTCTCACGAGTATGCTATGAAAGCGTAGCACTGTCAGTTATTTTTTCTTTCTTTTTTTCCTTTTTTTTTTTTTCAAATATACAAATATTTAAAAAACTTGAAAATTCATACCCAATTGATTTATACAGAGCTCAGGATAGATTAGTTGCAACACGCAGGACTGCCATTTTATGAATTCGATTCTGAATGCGAAATTTTCATAAGAATTCTCTATGTATCATGCAGCCGTTAGCTTGTTAGAGTAACAGAACAGTATCATTACGTCTGTGAGACGAGATTTACAGAAATTGGTTTTTATTTTCCACACCAAAACATATGTTATACACTGGGAGTGAGTTTCAGACATGACAAATAGTCGAGTATCGATTAAGTGTATAATTTCTTGAAGACGAGAGATATAAACATTGTAATGGGTATGATCTGCGTGACAGTGTGTGCAATCAAAGGTGTGTATAACGTAACAAATTGTCATAATCTCTTGAAGTGAGCATTGAATTTTGCGAGGTGAAGTATACTTCCAGTTTCAGTGGTTTAGATTGAACTCAGACGAAAAAGATCGGTAAACGATAATGCACAGAATCACTCAGCATAACAATTAATCGACCTGTTTTAATAGTTGTAGAATGATGCTGATGGTGTCGACACGAGCAGATAGAGTGTGCACAAGTTTCTTATTATTATAGAAAAAGAAAAAGAAAAAAAAATCTTTCATTAGCGCGTGGTCACGATTGCAATAGGTTTGGAACTTTATAAAATTGGTATGTGGTATGACACGTTGAAGCAAAAGAGAAAGATTAAGAGCAATAAAAAAAAAATAGAAAGATGAAACTAGAGAGAGTGAGAGAGAGAGGGAGAGTGAGAGTGAGAGCGCGAGAGAGAGGGAGAGTGAGAAAAGAAAAGAAAAGAAGTACGTTAATGAGCGAGAGTGCGTATATGTGTGTAATTCAATCAATTATAATAGATAAAAAATATGTATGTGATTGTCGAGGGCTTGGTGTATATCTGGTTGCAGAATATTGATGGCTTAATGATGGCTCGTCAGTATGATACGAGCAAACACAATGAATGCTACCGCCCTATACCGGTTCATACGCCGAGTAGTCGACGGGTACCTGTGGCAAAACCGTATATCAACTTAAATACGTCCGAAGCTGCTAATACACCTAGGTACGATTCGGAGTACGATTATAAAACGACGCATTATCCGTCGTACCCCCCCAATTATCCATACGACGATAACAATAAGTACAAGTACGAGGGCCAGAACTATAATGCGTACGAGAAACCGAGTTACCCGTCCTATGAGGATCCCGGGTATGACACACGTAATTACATGGTCCAGCATACAACGGCAGCGGCGGCAGCGGCAGCGGCAGTGGCAGCAGCCCCGAACCCTAGCGCGGCGTATCCATCCGACACGGAGTATACAAGATACACCAACTACGAAGGACGTGCCGTGTACCCGGTCATGGAGAATCCGGACTACACGGACAAAGCTAGATACAATTACGGTTACGATCGAAATTATTACGAGGCGGACGGCCGTTACGCGTCGACGGACTGTAGATACACGCTGGATGTCAGATATCCGGATGCTAGACACGCGGACAATCGGATACCGGCTGACGGCAGAGAGGCTGATTGTAGATATCCGGTGGATAATCGTGACATGGATAGAAGATACACGGTCGACGGTAGAGACCCAGAAGGTAGATATGCCGTCGAGAACAGAGAAGTGGTGGACGCCAGGTATCCGCCGGACGCGAAGGAGGTCGACGCCAGGTTTGCCGACACGACAAGATACCCGGCCAAAGAAAACTATTACGATCGTTATTACAAGCACCGTCCATCGAGGGATCACCACGTATCGGACACGTCAAGATACTGATGAGTCTTGTTACTATTGTTAAATACATACGTGTCACGCTTCAACGGGAATAGAGAGAGATTTCGCGTGGTTGAAGTTAAGTTTTGTAACGCCCGGTATCATCTTTTGTATCGAGGTATCATCGAACGATACGGGGGAGGGAGTTTGGAAATATGCATCGTAATTTGTTTTTCGCTCTTGTACCTCGTGTAACTCGTTTGCTCTTTACTCATCTGTCGAATGGGACAAGGTTTCACTCGTCCCATTGATAATCAATAGTACATGTGTCATTGATTAGAAATGAACTCTACTGTACTTCTCAGCCACTCGTTCAAGTGATCATTTTGAATATATACATTTTGATGGGAACAGAGAGCATGTGTATCCCAGTTTGATAAGCGAATCTTTTGAATTTCACTTTTCTTCAGATGGTCGAACGTAACGTTTGATACAAAGACAAAGAACTGTATATTCCCCTTGATCCGTGATTTTTGTTGCAAATACAAAAAAGAAAAAATTACGTTATTTACAGTACTAGCAATAGCTTCGAATAACTATCCACATTTTGTCATCAAACTGTTGTGCTTATTCAGTTTAAGATAATATGTAATATATATATATGTATGTATGTAGCCATATATATATATAGCATGAAATTTTACATCGAATATATACAGATATAAAGCATATTGTACAGATTGCATGGATTTTGAGGAGGCCATAGTGCTTAAGTATTATATATTTACATTACATTATAAAATATGTAAAAGGGGCGATACCCTTTTTTCTGAAAATCATTAGATAGAAATGTATATCAAAACGATTTTTCTATAAAACTTGATATCAGTGCGAATTAGGTTTATCTTTCTTTTTTCTTCAATTATTTATTCTTGAATTGAACGACTAATTGTTGTATCAAAAATACGAATGCTGCAATTTATAACTAAGCTGTTGGAGATATTCAAATCAGTAAATGTTTGACCATTTCTTTTTGATATAAATGAAACATTGTACGTTGTACATGCACTGTACACAAGTTTTACTGAATAAGTCAGAAAAGAAAAACAAAACAAAAAAAAAAAACAATTACCAAAAATACTGTTGTACATGATTGATTGATTGTGCGTTTGTGCGTAGGAGGGAATGATTCAGCAAGTACCCTGCAAGGTATTCGTGGGACGCTGTACAGAAGACCTAACTGCTGATGATCTGCGCGACTATTTCTCCAAATATGGCGAAGTGACGGACGTGTTCATCCCAAAACCTTTCCGTGCATTTTCATTTGTTACTTTCTTAGATCCCGAGGTAGCCCAGTCCCTATGCGGCGAGGATCACATTATTAAAGGAGTATCTGTACACGTGTCGAACGCCGCACCGAAGTCAGAGGGGAACAATAAGAATTTCAATAATCAAGTGAACTCGAACATGCGTAGAGGTGCCCCAGGTCCCGTCGAGAATAACGTGCCGGGGAACTATCAGGGTAATCGATACATGGGCCACTCAGGTAACAATATGGGTCCAAATGGCTGGAACAATCCAGGGAATAGGGGCAATCTGGACATGCCTAATCTCCAAGCGTTGGGCATTACCGGGCAAAACAATGGCGGCGGCGGCGGCGGCGGTATGTCGAATCCATTGGCGATGGGAGGATTGAATTTGTCCGCGTTGCCAGTCAACCCAGCTTTGGTCGCAGCTGCACTAAACCAAGCATCTTGGGGTCTGATCGGTAACTTGCAGAATCAGGGAAACGATCAGGGCTATTCGAACCAGCCTGGCCCACCTGGTCAACCACCTTCAGGCAACAATAGTATCGGTAACAGTGGAAACTCTGGCTTTCTCAGTTGGATGAATCAAGGGGGTGGTGATGGTAATACTGGCAATCCTGGAACAGGTGGTCCAGGTCCGAATAATCCGAACGCATCCCAAGGTGCTTGGCAGAATCATCCAGGACAGCGTGATCAGAAATCGAACACCTTTCTCAAGTACGAATAAGCTGCGTCGAGGGGTCCCCCAGTGTAGTCTTGGAAAGTGGCGAATCCGTTCCTTTGATCCTGACGTTAACCACACAAGTGACAGGTGTCTAGGCAACTGTATGTAGGTACAAAGTAATCTCTTTTTTTTTATTTTACATAAAGAAAGAACCAAAGCCTCTGTCTCAATGAAGGGGGAACGGGTTCCATGATGATTCTTTTTGTACGTTTTTATTACACAGAAACGTACAGAAAGAAGTAACATATTTTCTTTTCTTTTTTTCTTCTTTTTTTCTTTTTTCTTTATATGTGTGCGTGTGTGTATGTGTATGTATATATATATATATATATATATATATATATATATATATATATATATATATATATATATATATATATATATATATATATAT